ACAGCCTGTTTCCCTGACAATGTTAACGTCTATGAATGTAAGTCTACAACATGACCAGGTATGTGTGTGTGTTTCCTCCTGAGGGGAAACAGAGATGCTGTGGGGCTCATGGAGTCCATACGGTGCAGAGAGTTACTGAACAAACAGGATGATCACTCACTTATCTCTGCATCTCAGTACCTCAAAGTGTTATTTCAGACCTGACAGAGAAAGTCTTCATTAACTTCTGTCAGTGTCAAGCTCAAGGTTCCCTTTGATTCATCCAGGGTCCAATACATGCAAAGGTACACATCTGTCAGGATCATGCTGCGTTCATGACAGTGGGGAAGATGGAACAGACCAGCTCTCATTCAGTTGGCTTTCCAAACTAAAGTTCAAATGAATGCTTCCTCCCTTCCTTGTTACTCCAGCATTATGATCTGGAAAACAATTTAGGTCCGCCATCACTGAGGATATTTCCATCCCTTAAATAGTCACCTGGAGAAGCTTAGAATGAGGAACCACACGGACTGGAATCTGTGTATTGATAGGTCAACTGGTCTGATGGGAATGTAAACAGAGCAGCATGTTGTGAAAATAGGCTCTATAGTTGTATACTGTGAAATTCCAGATATTTTGAATTTGATTCAAGGCACAATAATAAAAAATCTTTTGCACAAGTTTGTTTCCAGCGAGTTTCTTGTTTTTCAGGCCCTATTTTTTATAGTTTTATAATTCAGCCCAGTGAACTATGATAACAGTTAGGCTCTTCAACTTCATTACTGAGATCTGTTGACATCACACACTGTTTGAAAACAAATCTACAATGAGTCAAACCAAATAAGTACAATGTGTGAATAAAAGCCTTATGTTCCTTATGTTGTTAAGCTGTGTGTTTATAGTGCAAGACTGTGCAGGGCAGTAAAAGCTGGCCATTACTACGAATCACTGCACAAAAATAAGAAACTACAGTGAGCAGATCTACAATCCAGTCCGTGATGAGAAAAGCCCTTCTCATACTCATTTTCTTTTTGTTAATGTCTAATGAGTGACATTAAATTACCATCATCAAGTCCCCAGACCCTAATCTGGCAAGCGGTTAGGGAAAGCTCATCTTGCATTGAGAGGAGACGCTGACGGACCCGGCGCCAGAGAGGTCGAGGTCAAGGGTCAAGGACTCTGCAGGTTGACCCCCCCCCCTACCCACCCGAGGGTTCAGAATATCAATACCTCCATACACACAATTACAAATATGATCCTATCACCATTCAATGTCTGTTAACTGCCAGCGTACGGTTCCATTAACAGAGTCAAGTATTAGGCAAGACCTAAGAACCATTTGGTTCTTAAAAAGTTGAGTTGAGTTAGCATTTAAAGGATCAGTGTGTGACGTTTTAGATTGCAACTGAACACCGCTGGCGTATTTGACGACCTGTGAATGAGCACAGGCTCTGACATGTGTAGGAGAAACTACGGTGGTCACAAAGCTCCTTTTGTCCATTCTGGGCTACTATAAAAACATGGCGGTTCAACATAGCAGATTTCATGGAAGGCGACCCACAGCATCTGTGGATATAAACAGCTCATTCTAAGGTAACAAAAACATAACGATTCTTATTTTTAGGTGATTTGAAAACATAGCTATGAATATTAGATTCCATTTCTGCCAATAGATCCTCCTAAGTGTTACACACTGGAGCTTTTGTAAAAATATACATTACTGAATATGAATAGTGCCTAACTTATAGTACCTATATGCCTGAAGGTTAGAGAAGCAAGCTTGTGACTGGGAGGTTGTTGGTTCAATCCCTGGATAAGCAGGATAAATCTGGGTGGGGAAAGTGAAAGGCAGCATGCACCAACACTGAGCTGCCCTTGGGCAAGGCCTTTAACCCCAACTTCTCCAGTGGAGGTGCTCAGTGGCAGCAGATAAGACTGTGATTGTATTGGGCAGCTTCTCAGTGATCCCTGGATGATCTCCCTGGATAAATAAAGGTTAAAAAAGGAGCAAAATATCAGATAAAGCAAACGGCCTCATGATAAAATTATTACCATTACAGAAGTGACCATGGTGTTAAATTCAGACATGAGATGTATATGTTAAATTGCTATCAGACTAATGTAAAGGGCTGTGTTTTTGAAAGGGGCTCCAGTCATTTTTGGCACCAGAGTTTAGGCTGAGTCTCTGATGGGCCGTGGCAGCCTCAGGCACTTATTCGGCCTGTGGAGCTTATGCTGCTGCTTAAAGGGGCGATAAATCAATAAGTGTCTCCATTTGAAGTGAGGACATCTTTTTTTTCTTTTCTTTTCAAACCCCATAAGGACATCCGAGCCGCCAAAAAAGGAAAATGGTCGCTCGATAATTGAGTTTGAAAAGATGCCATTGCCAGTGTAACTGTCTGTCATATTAGGCCTGCCACTGCCCCTGACTATACATATTATTATTGCAACTTTCATTATAGACCCACGTCTAATATTAGATTATAATTTAGATTAGTTTGTTTCAACAAAATAAACTGAATTCTATTTTACTTTTACTTAGCATAGGTTCCAGTCTGTCCACTACTGATTGTATCACAATTGAAAATATGCCCAAATCTTCACCTTGAAATTGTCCTTTGTAGTGTATTTGCTTACCCTACAGGTCCTCTAACACTGAGTCTTCACTGTCTGAATTTATTCAGGCATGTGAAGTGGATCTCTCAATTTCATTGACTTTTGCTTTAAATCTATTAAGGAACACACAATATTAAGGGCAATTACCAACATTGTTATGTCAACACAACTCAAAACACATAAAAAATAATGTTTGTAACATAAAAGATCTAAATCAATAGATAAAATTGTATTTATTTATTGCAATCATGCATTTAATTAAGTAGTGGTAATAGGTCCCCCGAGTTACTTTTTAGTGTTCCATATATGAAAGCTATTCTAAACAGCAGCTGTCAGTCTTTAAACACAGCCCAGTGTTTGTAGTCCACTCTTTCATTTCGTCTCAGTAATTTAGCCGCTTTTTCCAGCCCATAATATTCATTGCTGGTCCACATTTAAAGGAATAGGTGCGCATCAGTGTGGGATAGGCTACCAGTGCATTAAAATTTGATGTCGGTCAATTGACCAATAAGAGGCGTTCAAAGCATATCAAATATTAATACCTTAATGCCCCGCGCAGTAATTAAGTCCCAGTGGCTTTTAAAGGGGAGGAAATCAATGAGCCACACGGTTTAATTTTTCATTTAATTGTTGTGGGGTTGTTTGTGTCTTGGAGCCGAATGCAGGAAACGAGCTGCACTCGTTATTTATGATCTACGATTAAACACCGTTACATCTATTTGTTATTATCATTTAAACCTGCTGCACAGATCCTGATCATTCCCGGATTCATTCACATTTTTAATTAATGTAGCCCCGATGCTAAATAATGACTTGTAGTTCATTTTTATTATTCAAATTGCACTTTAACTGCGGGTTTCGGCTGATTTTACTTCTGGAAGAAGCAGCAGCATAATGCAGCGCGGCTCTGTTCCCACAGTAACAAACGAAAACGCATCAGTGTTTGCGCCAATGTCATCACTCTGAGCATGAATTAATAATGGCGCCCGCTCCATAACAATAAATGAGTAGCCTGCATTAAACATCAATAATTTTTCTGTGATTTATACTGTATCATTTGGACCCATTAGGCCAATTTATTAGGGTTCCCAATTTTCTGCAGCACGGACCATAACACAGGAAGTTGTGTAAATTGTGCTTTTGATTTAAAAGGATCAACTGTAGAGCTTTTTTTTTAATTGATAGACTACATTCTCTCCAGCTGGGTAATGTCAATACTGTTATCTCTGTCTGTGTGACATTTAATTACCAAACTGCTGTTTTTTATAAGCTCTGCAGTGAGAGCCAACAGGCCCCACAACTCGCTCCCATTTGGCATTTCTTCCGTGTTATTGCGAAGTAAAAAGTCCTGTTGTTCCTCTACATTTTCCTTCCAATCCTTCCTGCATCAAATCCACACTGACACTTTTTCCCACAAGTACTGAGCAAGACTCAATGCTCTGTGTACTGATCAAAATATTACAGGAAAGTATGCTCTGCAGCTGTGGGGAAAATGAATGTTAGATCCCCACACAGTGAAAAGTTAAGGATTGGGAGCCAAAAAAAAAACGTTTAAATACTGCAGGGGCGGATCTAGAGAAATATTCATGGGGTGTCCCGAGGGTGGCATGGAGACTTTAAGGGGTTGTAGGTTGGGCTCGGCTCGGGCTCGGACAGAATTAAAATTTTTCTTTAAACAGCCTATATTTAATATTTTCTTTATAATGCTATAAACTAGCCTATAGGAAATTCGGGTTAGGGTCGGGTTCGGGCTTGGACAGAATTGGGCCTAATCAAAGCTCTACTAGAAATATCTAGCATTAGAAATCAATAGCCTACATTGTTTTATTTCCAAATTATATTTCCAAAACTTCACATTTTTCAAAATATGTCTTTTTTCATTGAACTTAGGGTCTAACCATGAGTCTAAAACAGATCATTAAATTCATTTCCATTTTTAAACACGTTATTTTTTTAATGAATGTGTCAAATTTAACAATGTATTTTAATTTCAAAATACTGTATTTTTAAAGTAATATTATGACTGGTTACTGTAGAAACACAATGCATTACTGGGATTTTCATTTTTATTACTGTAAAATAATTAGGCCTATTGTAGGCTACGTTACTGTGAATTCACTACAATTATTAGCCTGTAAATAGCTAAAGGTACAATAATATATTTTACAGTGCAGGGCACCCTTGAAAATGAGATTTTATAATCTCAATGCGACTTATCTGGTTAAATTTTTTATTATTATTATTATTATTATTATTATTATTATTATTATTATTATTATTATTAACGCTTTCACAAAAATGTA